TTTCTGCCGTTTTTCCATTTTTTTTCTCCCCAAACCAAAGTAAAGAAGTCTCAAAAGTACTTGCACTATTTGAAAATGTTTTCATTTTCTTACATCACATACAGCCACACAATTCAGTGCATAATTTTGAAGTGCAAGAAAAATTGTAATTTTTCACAAAAGTCTGAAAAGAGGGGTGTGCATGCCCATTTACTCCAGTATTCTTAAATAAATGTAGTCAATTGATTATTAAAGGAAGATGGCAGGTAGGAAAAAGGTTTTAACACGTCTCAACCTTTTAACATTTCATTAAGATCAGTTCAGTCTGTCTACTGAAATTTGGAAAATAAGTAAAGTAAAACATCCAAAAGTGGTCATCTGCTTAAACTGTGAGATTAGTCTTTAATCGCAAATCTGGTCTTTATGAAGGAGAGGCCATGATAAAGATATTGTTGAAAAAAAACCTAATGAAATCCTGAATGCCACAAGCCAAGTTGTTTCCATGGCAAATACGTGGGAAAATGGAGCACTGGTCCAATGAGATCAAAAGCAGTTTGTGGAGAAAAACTAACTCAAGATATTAACTTGAATATCCTGGTGGACGACCAAGAAAATAAAACTGGAGTTACAATGGAATGGTTTGGATCGGAGTATATCCATGTATTAGAAAGGATTAGTCAAAGTCTAGACCTGTTTCCCACTCAAAATCTGTGGCAAGACTTGAATATTTCTGTTCACAGATGCTGTCCATCCAATCTGACTAATTCATTGAGAAAAACGTCTTAAGTCATGGAAAGCTGACAGAGTCATACCTTGAGATATGAAAAGAAAGGTTTTTAACTCAGTTATCAATGAGCTTCTCCATGTCATACATCAACTTCTAGTTCCACCTCCTAATTATGCACTGCTTTGTGTTGATTTACCAGAGAAATTAGATTATTCTTCATGGTTATGACATGACAAAATACAAAAATGTTCAAAGATTACAAATGTTTTTCGTAGGCATCATTGATAATATGTTAAGATTAGGGCTGTTAAAATAATCACATCCACTATTTGCGTTATTTTTTTTTTTTACTTTGATAGAAATAAGTTAAATGCAACAATTATTTTAAGAGGTGCCCCCTCCGTGTTGCCGTATCTCACTTTTGTTTGCTCATTCAAACTATCAATGGATAAAAAGCAACATCTGATAAAACTTAGTCATTTTCAATGTTTCAAGCCAAAGAATGAATGTATATAATGCACTTTAGCTAAGTTACATTCTGTTTTTTTTATACTAAATTTATTTTAATACTTTTAAACAGTATGTCTGAGAAAAAAAGCAAAAGTCCCTTGTGTCATTACTTAGTTGATGCCTGGATCATCTTTAAGTGACTAATTGCTATTTTTTGTTTTTACGGATTTGCAATGAATTAGTTAATTTTTATCAATCCATTAACAGCTCTTGTTTAAATAAGTCAAACGCTGGAGAGATTTTAAGGGTTTTTAGTTTTCTGAAGCAAACACCTGTGTTAAGTCAGGTTTTTATTTATATCTTGGATAAGAAAAAAACGTAACCTAATTTTTAAAGCACTAATAAATTAATAAGTTTGATCACTTTCTGAATGCATTATGCTTTTGTGTATGATATATGATTCTGTGTAATCCTCTAATGCTATTAATTAATTAATGTTTGAATATTGGGTGAAAAAAAAGACAACTGAGCTGTTTTCATTTTTCAGCCTGCTATTATTTCTCGTTCACCATCATTTTTAGCATTCCTTTCATTCTCTCTCACTATATTTCTTCCTCTTTTTTTCCACGACACCTTCCTCCCCCCTCCCCACAGCTCTTTGTCCCTGTGAGAGAGCCTTTAGATCTCGTTAGCGTCCAGACGCTGCATGTCGCACTTTCACCCTGTGAAATGAGGAAGGAGGTGGTGGACGATCTCATTTCAAACCTGGTTTGACCGAATTAAGTGCTGAAGGCAGTTAAATAAAAAGCCACTCACGTGAGCATAATAACCCAAAAACCAATGAATTTCCGACAGTTTTCATGTACATTGCAATAATAATTTGAATACTGTGTTGTTTTTTTATGACAAATGTCAAAGAAGAAAACTTTCACAGACTTCTGAAGCATCGGTTTAAGTCAGTGTGTGCTTATTCCGGCTTTTTTTTTTTTTTTTTTTACCCTACAACTCAAAACCTAGTTGCCGTAGCAACAGCAGACACAGCTTAATGACCTGTACATAAAAACCACACAGATGTTATTATGACTCACCTTGCTTCTGAGTTTCAAAACGCGCCGAGAGGAGACGAAGAAGGAGCTGTAATTGGGCGAATGTGGGTCAATTGGAGCTTCTGCCAGAGGGGGGAGCCGTTTACCATAGAGGGGTAACTGCCGAACGGCTCCGTTAATGAAGAAGGCATTTTGATACTTCCTGCCTGTTGCAGTATGGAGAGAGAGAGGAAAAAAAGCAGCTGTGAGTGACAGCAGAAGTCTAATGAAGCCATTCTCACTGATGATACACTGAGGATGGAAGCTGACTGCTAAAGAATTGGGAGCGAATTGCTTGTCAAAATCTGCTAGAAGGTTCCCTGATGAGGCTTTGACAAATCCCGCAGCCCGTCTTCTACTGTCTTCCGTCCTCACTTTTCAAAATGTTTAATACAGCGTCGGTAGGAGCGCTCAAAGGCTTCCAGTCAGCAGAATAGCTCTGCATCTCATAAATAAGAGGAAGAAACAGTAATTTGGTGGATTTGTTAAAGCTGTTAAAACACCGTCTTTGACTGATAGAAATAATTTACAAATCCATAGCCAATTTTGTCCAAGCTATTCTTTCACCAATAGCTCGCATTATTGGAGAAAATGTATAGTTTCACAATATGCTATTTGATTAAAAGATGTTGAAACTAGATGTGCTGGGTTGAAAATCTAGAATAAATTAGCCAAAAAGAAATAATAATAATAATAAACTAATTTAAAGATCAGGGCTTCAAACAAAATTACCAGGCTTGATTCTTTCCTCCATCCAGTACTTTCACAGGTCTGAGGTCAAGAAATACGTTACAAACATCTCAGAAAAAAACAAAGCATAGTTGTACTGTCACAACCTGCCTTTAAAAAGATAAAGAAAAAAATATTGAGTGTAGACACATTTACATATTCTTTTTTGTATCCTTTTTAAGTTCCTAGACTTTATGTATTCATACTTGAAATTTGTATGCTGTGAAAGAAACTCGTGCACACAAACTTGGCCCGTAAAGCTGATTCTTTATCATGGATAAAGTCACAGTGTCAGAGCAGCTAGTAGCAATGAGCTTAAAACTTACAATCATAAGAAACGACTCACAGTTCATTACTGAAGCACTTTGAAGTCTTTTAATTCAATAAAGCACTACACAAGTACAGGTCATTTCCACACTGTACAGTATCTATATGCTGTTTTGCCAAACCCTCTCCCTACCCTTAAAGATGATTGTAAGCTAGCTGACTTGCATGCTAATAGTAGACATTAGATGGGGTAAATGGGACCCTGCAAGCTTTTTACCCTGTGGCAGTCCACTGGGGTCACAATGATCACGCCTGCACTTTTACAAGGTGTGTGGTTTCGGGAACTGATGGTCTGACAGGACAACCGCCCTCTCCCGCCCCCATTCCCACCCTCACCTCTTCCCCGCTGTCCAACTGTGACATCTGCTGCACTCCACCTGAGCGTTGTGCTAAGACCGCAAGAGGAATAAATCCACTTTTGGGTGAGAAAACCTAACATTAGTGTGACTCAACAACAGGATAGGTCCATATTCAACCCAATGCTGTGTTGGCTGTTTTAAGCATCATATTTCAAAAAAACTTATGAAATCAAAGAGGTGTGTTTGTTCAAAAAGATTCCCCTTGCATCAGAACGGTTTATAAACCTCCCGCAGTGACTCAAAGGTTTCAGAAGTTGTCTCATACAAAGCCAGCACACTGTGGTGACGACCCGCCTGTGAAGCAGTGCCCAGCTCCCTTGTACCCCTTGCTGGCATTCAGATAAAAAAATAAAACAACAACAACAAAGAAACATGTATTCAGATCAGTTCATAGCCCGGGTGAAATCAGCCCTCTGACAGGGGGAGAAAACAGATCGGATTACATACTGTTATTAATAGCCACCCTCTCCCCTTCTCTCATTATAAACTCACAGCTGACAGTGTCCCCCTCTGTCTGTGACATGCTCTGTGTGACTACTGTGTTAGGTCTGTCTGTTTTTATCGTTCCATTTTCCATCTCTTTCCCCCCTCAGGTTATAATGAACTTCACACTCTGGTCCAACGGCTGAGCAGGGACAAAGTGACACTGGGAGGCCATTATCTTCTACTTCAGTCCAACAGGGAATGTGGCTACAAAGCCTGCCAGAACATTAACAATATGAAGAACGTCATAGCTGCACTGCCATCACACTGATTGGTGCTTTTCTTTTGAGTTTGTTAATAGCCCAGTGGTTTGCAGATGCCCCTGGAAACAAGCTTATTTCTGCAATTTTGAGGGAACGTTGATGTCTCTGTTTTTGACATGTGGCTCTCAAAAGGCTTCATCCACTTTGATGTTACAAGGAATTTTGTAATACCATCCTCTTAAGAAGATGACTTTTGGACTGAGTTTCTTTCCTTCTATTGTTGCAGAAGCTTCAGTTTGTTCCTCTGTGAAATTTCCAATCGGGTCTTGTTTGTCTTCTTCCTGTCATCAGTTCCTTCTGTCTTCTGTCTTCCAAGAAATTCAACTGATCCACTAGTCTTCGTACACCCAACAGTAACACGGTCACTTCTCGTCTGAACAGCTTCAAACAGGTGTCAGTGAGGCCCCTCTAAACTTTAAATGTACCATGTGATATTTCTGACCTCCACTCACAAGTCCCCCCACTTTTACCCCTACTTTTTTTGGCAGCTCCATGTCCTGTGGACAAGGGTTGTCCCACCTAGATAGTCCCACCTCTTTGGCCAGTGATGTCAGCAAACCATGTGATATTCCTTTTATAAAGACAGTATCAATGTCAGACCTTCTCTTCTCCAGCTATTGTGGACAGGAATTGGACGTACTCTCCCATTAGGGGAAAGTAGAAACCATTTTAAGTGCTTTCTTGTCCTCCGAAACTCCCTCATCCAGAGGGCTTTGAGTTGTTTGTACTGCTAACAATCACCATGAAGTGGACATGGGTGTTTTTAGGGTTCTACTTCCTCTCTTTGGGAGCACTGTCTTTGGGAGAGAAGGGCTTGGAGATCCCCGAGTATGACGGCAAAGACCGTGTCCATACCCTCACTGCCAAGAACTACAAGTCCATCATGAGGAAGTACGACGTAATGGTGATCTACTACCACAAAAATGTGGATGGGAATCGAAGCGCCATGAAGCAGCTTCAGATAGAGGAACTGGCTTTGGAGGTGGGTCTCTGCTGCAGGTTGAGAGCAAATGAATCCGTGATGTGTTGATGTCAATGGTCAAGACGAGAGGAGGGGGCTGGTTTCAGAGGGGAAATGTGGCTTTAGGTTACACTTCCTGGATCATTTGTAGTTTCTTTGGAACTACAAACTAAGATAAGAAAGAGTATATTGGACAATCACATCGTCGGCTCTCTGGTACACCTAGTATTAGATTTTGATTATTTTAGAATGCAGCAAAGAACGTATCTATGAATTAAAACCATAGACCTGAGGAAGTGCATTCCTTCCTTCAACCATCATTAATGGTTTGGACGTTCTGCTATGCAATAGGTAGGTCGCTGGTTCAATTCCCGGTCCATCCGCTCTCGTCATTTGTGTCTTTGGGCAAAACACTTCACCCGTCTTGCCTGCTGGTGGTGGGCAGAAGAGTCAATGGTGCAAAACGGCAGACCCGCTTCTGTTGGACTGCTCCAGGGTGGCTGTGGCTACAATCCAGTAGCTTGCCCTCATCAGCTAGTGAATATTCCCTTTGAGATTTCAATTTGACATATAAATGGCATTACAAATAAAATATATTATTATTATTATTACACACTTCTTTCGGGTTGATATTTCTAAGCAGAAATCATTACTATTACTAAACATGCTAAACATTAGTTGTCAACTGATATGTCAATGTCAACAATTTAATTTTCTTTTATCTTCTCCCTCAGTCTGAGTAACTTCCACCTGGAAGTTATCAAATGTATTAGTATAGGATATTGTTTTTCACAGTGCTGTGGTGTTTTTCAGCCACCTACTTATCTATGTAAAAACTTCAGTCACGCGGTACATCAGCAGATAGAACTAAAACAGAGGTGTTGAGGGTTTTGAACAGTGTTTTTCTTTTTTCATAAATACATCCAAAGAGCTCTTTTATCACAAAGCCAGAAATAATGCACCTGAGTCCAGCACTCTGCCAGTACACCAGTTAACCACAGCAACCTGCTGCCTTTCCAGAATGGCAGTGTCTCCTTACATCAGCAGAGTGTAGCTTACACTGGGCCCTCATAAGTCACCTCCTCTGTAAATAGCCTGAGACAGTCCTGCATGCTGAGCAAGAGACTAAAAGCTCTCGTGAGACAGAGTGAAAGTTCAGAGCCATATTTCACATGGGCAGTTGGCCCTTCCCTGTATCTGCTACCACATAAACGCTGCTGTGTTGCTAAGATGTGTTACATTATCCTGTGGGTGTAGACTGAAGTCCCAAACCACTTACAGTTACACACAAAGTTGTTGGGTCTGATCAATTTCCCAACAAAGCTGCCAAGGTGGAGAGAGAGAGAGAAGAGCAGAGCTCTACTGTACTTTTGCTCTTCCTGACTGCCTGCCAGCTGTGGCTATTCATCCAATCAGAGATCACTCAGAGGGGACACTTAAAATAGCTGATCATTGACACCTAAGTATCCGGAAGTATAAATAAATTAATTGCAGGCTCAAGGACACATTACACTGTCAAAACATTATTATTATTTAAAATTCCCTTAATAATAATGATAATCTTTTCTCTGATCCCTTCTTTAAGATGCAACATAAAAAAAAAATCAGTCACACTAACAAAAATAAATACATTTTCTTATTTAGCAGCTGTATATGAACAGAGATTAGATAAACTGACAAACCGCTCATATGGTTTACTTGTAATGTAAACCATATGAGCATGTCATCACCAATTATGCTACATTTAAACAATAAATTATAAAGCATAGTTTACTCCTTGAACACTTTACATCAGCATTAAACCCCACACTGTGCAATAAACGAGCCAACATTGTGCTAATTAGCTGCCTACAAAATCACTAGCATTTTCATTAATTTGAACAAAAAAAAGAAAAGAAAGAAAGAAAAACACATGTAAAACAACACAAATATATCTCTATAGCTTACAACATTCAACATCAACTCACCTCATTGGGCAATACTCCAAAACGCAAGTTAGACGTAGTTTTAAGGTTAATTTAACTTGCTTGGTTCAGCTGAAGGCGCAGACGTCAAGTTTTGGACTTGAGAATACGGGAAATGTCGCCGTCCGGTGCTGCGGTCATAGCGGGGCCTGGTTGATGGAGGGCTAACATGAGAGCTGAGGAGGACCGGGGGGCACAATACGGGATATTTACGGGAAAATAACAATACGGGAGCACGGCGAGAACAGGGAGTAGAAAACGGTAGTTTCCCTGCCAAAATGAGAGACTTGACAGGTATGTGAAGGCGACATAAAACACTTTCGGACAGCCGTCAAGTTACGTCCGGTGCGCTGTCACGTTCCTTCAACTCCATATGAAATTATCTCTAGAGCCTATAGAGCCATATCCTAGAGCCCCCAGGTGGAATGGGAATCCAGCAATACCAACTCAGATATCGAACCAAACAAGGACTGCATCCAGTATTGAGGGACTAGAGAACAATGAACACGGAAGGAGAATAAGGCACAGTTGGATCCGATGGTTTGATACTATCTAAGCTGACTTAGTGACTCAGTGTTCCAAGAACAACAAATGGCAATTTCTTCCAAAACTAGAAACCCAAGATATAACATTTGAATTACTATGGCAAATTATAAGCTCACATTTTAATGACAGAGGAAGGGAAAGAAGTAGAGCACTACTGCATCCTCAACTAAAAAAAGGTCTATCATGTAAAGCTGCTTTTATGATTGACGGTAAATTAGTCTTAGATTTGAATAAGATCTACATGTGTGTAGATCTCTGAGACAGGAAACCCTTACGCTTAAAAAAAATGCAACTGATCAACATTCTCAGCATTTGAAGAAAAGCAGAACTACCTGTTTTGTATCTCCTCTAAATTGAGGTGCACATACTCCTTGTTCACAGCAGAAATCCCACATGGTGGACTACTTTCTGACTGTGTAGCACACAAACCCCAACATCCCAAAAGCCAGAACATAATCCTTTTCCTCATGTCTCAATGGGGACAGAAAAAAGCAAAGAGGCTTTTTTGTGTGTTTTTTTTTCATTATTTTCAATGTAGTAATTTTAAAGCTGATCTTTCAGCTTCAATAAAAATAAATAACTAAATAAAACAGAGATGTGATTAAATATTCTTTAAAAAATAAAGTGAAAGGACAAAAAGGGAAACTCTTTTTCAGAAGGTCATTTTTCTTTTCAGCTGCACATCTCACAGCTTTCAGCTTAATTTTGTTCTTCAGGTGTTACCTTGAAGGAAGTTCTAAATTGAGAAATTATTTTTATTTTATTAGTTTAGACAACAGTTACGTTCAGGTGAAGTGTTTTCCTTTGCTGGCAGGCGAGTCGGTCGTTCAGTCTTCTTGAATTTGTTCCATACTCCCTCCCTCCCTTTTGGATTTGAGGATTAGTAAAAAAGCTTTAGCCTAATTAATAAAAGGCTTACAGCTACACTTTGCTGGTGAATGTCAAATCCCAACAGGGTTCACCACTGTGATTGCATATTTCTTTAATCACATCCAGCAAAGACTGCTGCTTACAAAAACAAAAGCCTGTTAACGCCTGGGTACAGGGTCGCTTCTGAAACTGATCTGGGAAATGTGACAGGCATCAAATCAAAGGAAAGATCAAATATCGCCCAATACCGTCTTTATGGAACTGTGCTAAAGACATAAAACTTCACCGAATCTTAGAAAAAAAAATCTGTACTAATTGTGTGAACACATCTGAACAACTAATCAAAATTAAATGTAAGGAGTTTCTAACTTCAACATCAAATTGTTAAAGATTTAAGTACTACATTCACTCTGCATATGTTCAACTTTCATTTCTTTTGTTCAGAATAATTTATAAATTATCCTTTTTTTTTTTCCTCACCCTGACTGTGCTTCAGCGTTTCCCTCCCATCTCTCTCATCTGTATCAGGGAATGTCTTCGTATAATTTATTCATGGGGGAAAAATGTCAAGGAAATGGGGGGGGATCAGAGGGCGCCATGAAAAATTCAAATATGAATCTCTTGACTTTGAAACCCAGACGTATGGCTCCTCGTTCCACCCGGAGCTGGATGTGAATAAAGATAAAGCTTAACATCAGAACGACGTCGCTGATGATGTGTTGCTATTGGTATTTTCAAGTCATAGCAGATGCACGTTGTTGTATGATCAAGTAAAGGTGTCATTACAAAAATAAACCCAAAATTAACCTTGCATCCATCAGCTATTTGTATTTTTTCAAAACTATTTGGCTTTGGAGAAGTTAGTTTGCTCACAGGAATGTGAGTAAACCAGAGGGGTTTGGTATTCTGCTCTCTGCAGCCATGACTAAAAACCTGAACGTCATCTATCAGGTTAATAAATCCCATTAAGACCCAGGTCTCTAATCTCCACCTGGATATTTTTGCTTATTTTAATTGTTAAAAAAGGTCTTTAAATGTCCATGCGAGTAAATAATTTGGCCCATTTCTCCATAACAACTGGAACTTTCAATATTTAGCAGTTATTTACAATTTACAGTTAAAGTGACCATCACAGTTGGAGACCGTGCAAAAATCTCTGGTGGAATTTTAGTAAGGCAGGCGCAACACACACACCCATTCATGTAGTTGAGATCTTTGTACATGAAGAGTGGGTTATTAATCAGGAACACTGCCAGAAGCTGGTGTCTGGCCATTAATCACATCTGTAGTCGGCTTTAACTGTTTAACACTGTTGTACTAAACACTACAGATACTTGTCATAAAATGCTTGAATAGTTTAAGGAATGCTGGAGGTCATTGAAAGCAAAACTTTGGGTTTATCCGCATCCAAACAGTGGCTCAATTCTATATTTTCCCAGTAAACTTAATTTACAGTAGGATTTGGATAAATTCATGTTCAACCATCTGCAGTCAGCCTCTGTAGCCTTCAAAGTAATCTGATGTCATTTTTACCTATGGTAAACCGTATTAACACAACATATAAAATCTTGACGAAATGTGATTAAAAACTTTGCTGTAACAAACCAACAGGAATATTATTGCTACTTTTAGCAGTGAGATCTGCAGCTGTTGACGGTATTAATGAACTCGTAGTAGGAAACAAACAAGCCCAAGAAGGTTTCCATCTTTACCGACGTCTGGTTCGGTTTGTTTGTCTCTTTAAACGATTCCTCAGAACGTTTGGATTGAAGTCTTAGCTACTTTCACTACCTGAACCTGGATACTTGAGTATGTTCTTCCCCCGGTGTGTGATTGCTCTTGTTTTGCTAGTTGTTACCGTGATGTTCCCCCCTGTCACGAGTGAAGATGTTCCCATTTAAGCCCTAAATATCCCAGTTTTCTCAGTACCCCCTACGGCTAGCTAACACCTAAATCACTGTGTGGACGTGGGGACTCACAGGCCTCCAGTCAATTACCCAGCTTGTTGTGATCACCCGCATGCTTGGTGGGATCAGGAGAGATTCTGAGTTTAGAAGGTAAAACTGCTGTGTGACAGATCAGTAATTCCACTGATTCCTCTCCTAGTTGACTGTTATCTCCGTTCAACAAAGTCTGTCGAGTGTTTTGTTTCACTGGAAACAAAATGCTTGACAAATATAGAAACAGAACAGAATAGACTTTATTGATCCCCAAAGGGAAATTGCTTGTTAGTTGACAAGTTACTCCATCCAAAGTCTTAAATATTAATAACAAAAATATAACAATAAGAGATCAAGTTTTTTTTTTTTTTTTTTTTAAAAGTATATATTTTTATTTTTTCAAAATGATCTCTAAAGCCACTTTAGAATATTTTCTCTATGCTGAAGCGTGCAGCAGTCGTGATCTACATGGGTGTTTCTGAGAGTTTTAGATTCTGTTGTGACTGAATTTTTCATGCTCACCACAGTGCAGTGTTGTGTAACAGCTCAGCATGGCGCGTCGTGACGTTTTACTTACTTACTAATTTACTGACTGGCTGTGGAGGAAATGCACACTCAACTTTATACGGACCCCGGGGCACACGCTCCGAGATGCAGCGTTCCCTTGGAGAAACATTAAATCCTGCTGTTTAGAAACAGAAATCACACTTGAATTTTTCAGTTGCTTCCATTTGCACCCATTCATCCATCCATGGATAAAAACATCAAGGCGTATCTTTGGGATTTTATGTGACACGTCAGCATAATTGTGAAACTGCGAACATTATTTCCATTTTTCTTAAAAAAAATTTGAAAAACAATAGCCATATTTGTACTCAGCGCTCATCTCTTTACACAGTTGTTGCCCATTATTCTTTGCAGAATTGCTCTGTATCAATATCTGTATCTGTCTCTGTACTGGATGATCTATTGAGCATCTTCTCCCCCATCATGAGATGAATGGTGTGCGTGTTAAACCTGATCCATCTTTCAACTGCATGCCACAACGACCAATTAACTCATTATTTCAAGAAATCCACAAAAAAAAATATATATATTGAGAAAACCATTGGGAAATAAAATTGTCGTGAGAAAATGGGAAATTAAGTCGTTATCTCAAGAAAAACGATTGGCAAAAGTATATGTGTAAAAAGTCCACTCTCAGCTTCCGTACTTCTTCTTCTTCTTCTCTGAAGAAACAACTAAGCACATCATTATGCTGTCACCAACATGTTTTACTGAAGATGTTTATCATTTCTCTCATAACCCCCCCCGCCCCCCAAAACATTATTTTGGTCTCCTCTGATTGAAGCCAAACTTCCAGATATTTGTTTTTCCCAGCATGCTTTGAAGCAAACTAACAGGACTTCACAGAACTGGCTAACCTCTGAAGGAAGCTGTTTAGAGCATAATTTATTTTGAGGTATTAGTGTTAACATTTTTCATATTATTAAGACATGAACAGTTTTCTTTCCAGGTCAGAATTTTGCAATATATAAATATTCTGTCTTGGTCTGTCATATACAATCCCATTGAAGTACATTGGCATGTTTTATGGTAAAAGTGACTAAAGTTCAAAGGTTAAATCACTTTGAGTTAAATCATCACATTTTTGTCAATTAAATTTTGCTTACCTCTGCAATGTTGAAATATGGATTACTTGCTATTAGAATGAATAAATTCAAACTTTGTTTTGAGGTTTAATGTGCTTAAAATGCATTTGTAAACTTTTCTGTCCCTGAAAGTTTTGACTTTGGTTTCCTTTGGAAAGATGACAGCTGGCTGTTTTCCACGCCTTGTGTAAAAGCTACAGCTGGTTGAGTTTGTGTCCCTTGGGCCAACCCTGAGTACCTTACATCATAGGATGATGCACACACACACACACACACACACACACACACACACACACACACACACACGCACACACACACCTATACGCACACACAAACGTGCGTGAGTCATCGACTTCTTTCTGAAAAATCAATCTAAGGAGCCATGTGTAGAACCAGGTAAAAACTCTGAGTCACTTTGGACTGTAGAATAAAAACAACAAAACAAACAGATTAGTTTGGCATTTATTGACAGAGCGTACCGTAAGGTGTGGCTGGTGAAAATGCTTTAATGTTTGTGTGAAATGCTTGCACAAAACACAGCTAAAAAAGATAGAAAAAATTGAGGAGATACGCGATATATCGACACCAACATCAGTATTGGCCAATATTGGTAATTTTTTTTTTTTAATCGGTATCGGTCTGATAAACACAACTGGGCTGATATGAACAACTGATATTTATTTTTATTTTGTTGCTGTCTGTTTCTGGTGGGGTTTTGTTTCCTAAATATGTCGAAATACTAGTGAAAAACGTGTACTATCAGTAAATATTGGTTATCAACCCTAACAACAATATTAATATTGAATATCGGTATCGGACAGAATTTTTGTACTGGTGTATCCCTAAGACATTGTGTTGTCCTTTGACTAAGCAGTGTGGAAATGTAGTCGAAAAGTGAGAGATAAACATCTGATAATGTCTGATTGTTTAAAAGTTGATCAAACGGACTAGCCAAGCAATGCTTTCAGTAGAAATGTTGAGGATGAACTTAAGGCCACATCCTCGGCCGTACTGTTGGGTGCCTAGCCTTGTTTCCTGTCCCACACGGCAGCAACTGCACGTTGGGAAAAACTGTGTGTACGGGAAACCCCCTCACCCCCCCCAAAAAAAAATCTTGGTAAATAAGCCCTTATGTGTTTTATTGCTGTGTTGTTATATGGATTTGTTTCTCAGCTCTCTGTGCGGTTACTTTTCCCTGCATTATTTTTCCCAGTTTCCTCTCTAACATGACATCTGTTGAGTGAGTGTCAATGAAGCTGATCAAGAGTTTGCAGCTGAAATAATGACAAAATAGATTCAGATGATTCGTAACTTTGCTGATGACTAAATACTATAGAAGTGCAATTGATTAGATGAATTTGTGATATTACAGAAGGACCTGTACACATCCCGGTGTGCTATTCAGGCCACTTTGTGGCATTTGCATGCAAAGCAGGAAGCAGTGTTCTGATCACGTGGGATAAATCTTACAGGTCAGAGTGAGAGGTCATTATTAAGGATTGTCCAGTTACATTTGATTCCGCCTGAATCCATGTTAGCATCAATATTATTTTTATCAGCATGCTGTTAGCAACAAGCACAGCTCATGCCAAGCTAAACCTGATGAACCAATGTGTCAGCTAATGTGCATACAGTAAGCAGTGGACAGTTACTGGTGCACATGGTGCCAGAAATGCACAGCCCACCTTGGTCATCATGTCGTCCAGCAGCCAAGTGCAACGAGAAGCCCGGATGTGGTTTCCACGGCTCTCTGTGACACTCAGCTCTCCATTTTCTCACTTGACATTTTGGCAGCGGGTGGGCTTTGGGGAACACTGCCAAGTGGTTTACACTGCTGACCTCTGACTTGACTCCAATCGTCTGGATGGATCCGGTGATCAAGAGGGGAACGTGTGAGGAAGTGAAACGTATTGGGAGACTGAAATATTAAAGAGACGAGGCAATTGTTGGAATTTTAAAACGTTTAAGGGATCACTCTAGGCGTCGACGTTGAGTTTTTCCATCTTTGTCTCAGTTGTTGTTTTCCTCTCTGATCTGCAACGTCAGCCCCCTCTGTCGCCGCTCCCACTTCAGCGGCTTGGTGTTGGTGTTCTGGCATTTTTCAAAATCCTCTTAATTCAAAGTGAATAAAAAGTAACACCGACGTGTTGTTGGGGACTTTCTCAACACGCTTTACTGACACGAAACTCTGATCCCTCTGGTAAAGATGTGAAAAGCCTTAAAATAAATTCAACTTAGACTTTATAAATTTATTCAATGAGGAAAAAATTGCAATGTTAACAAAATAATTGGTTTCATCTAAATCACTGGTAGCATAATTCTGTTGGGACCCCTGCTGTTCATACTGGCCCCTTTTTTTTAATAATGAGGCAGAGCAGGGATAAAAAATGATAGCCATGTTGGAGCGCATACGGAGAGAAAATCCTGTAGGATTCAGGTCTGGGATTTGAGACAGCCATGGTTAAAAACTGATTTTTGTATCTTAATCTGGTGAAAGATTATTAAATTGTTACTTTGTTCTTTGGTGGTAAATAAATGGAATTTTGATTTAATCTGGAACATCAGTCTGACCAAAGGACACATTTCCAATTAAAAAGTACATCTGGCTTCATGTGTTTGTGTTTGTAATGTTGGGAAAGAAAATGTTTTGCATGGTATGCCTCCCAAACAGCTGGTTGGCATGCAGATATTGACCAGTGGTTGCTATGGAAACGTGGTGACCTCGTCAAGCCAATCCTTGCTGTGTTTCAGTAACGGTGATTTTTAGATGGGGAAAATAAAGTAAATGAGTATTAATTGAAAGTACAGGAAATTTACATTTACATCTCTAACTTTAAAATGTTGAGTAAAACTGATAAAAAAAATTTTATTTGAAACAACTAGGTTCAGATTAGTAGGTTACAGTTTTTCCACAACATACAAAAAAAATTCAAATAAAAATTTAGATTTTTTTAAAAAGTCTTTTCTGTGTGAGGAAAATTTGACTGCAATAAAAGATTCATTCACATCAAGGCTTTCGGCTTTAATGTGTTTTGACTTTTTGGGTCTGACAAAATACCTTTCATTCCTCTCTTCAGATGCACATTTTTTTTGTTTTTGTTGATTCACACAAGGTTGTCGAGTTGTTTTGTTATGTTACGTTTGTCTGTTTTGTGGAAAATGACTTTTGGCTGCAGTAATAGGAAAAGTGTAGAAATGAGGGAGCAAATGATTGTGACCAAACAGAAGTTTTGATGAGACAAGACATCAATAATAAGCAATTATTTCAATTTTTTACATAAAAAGTACAGTACATCAGTAGTAGAGTGGTTCTGGTGTTTGAAAAATGGTAACTAATAAAACAGGAAGTTTGTAATAGTTACAAAGACACTACTGCTTACACCCTTGCTTAAAGCCTGAATAAGCCCATATTGAGAAAACATTCTACATACATTGTTGTGAAAAAAACAAAACAAAAACTGTAGAAATCTGAAAGGGAGGAAATACCAAACAAAACAACGCACCAAGACAGCTTCAGTTTGTTGGTGTGTTGGTGATCTGTGGTGGAAAACCAATCAGTCATTTTCTTGATTGTCAGTGTGGCCTTGTTTTGTTCCATTTGTTGTGAACAAACATGGAGGCTATCCGTCCACCTAAAGTGTTGCCTCTCCTTGCAGTTGATCACAAGCGAAGCAGCCGTAATCTTTCAGGTACGTCAAAGTTCGCCTCGTGTGTCGAGTGCTTCCGAGCCGGGCCGTGACATACGGGCTCTCCCGCTGTCGCAGTCTACACGCTAACTGTTTCACTTCTTCGTCTCCTTGACTGCAGTTTAGTTTAAAAGGAAGTGAAATGAAGTAGCAACCCGCAACACAGACCAGTGGAGGCTGAACTGCTTTCAAAGTCCAGTAGCGGCAGCAGCTTGGGCTGTGCAAGTTTAACGTCAGATTTGTGAGAAAAAGACAAAAGTAAGGATACCCTGTTTGATAAAGCACCCGTCTAATACATTAATTGCTTTCTAACATGTCCATCCATCCTTTCACCAATCCAAGTAACAATCACCATGAACATTGAAGGATACATCACCCAAATCAAGAAAAAAGCAATGACCTTAATACGGCAAATTACTATTTTTTTAATGGTAAGCCATTTTAAGAAATGTAGGCTGCTTGATAATGTAAAGATATTTCTAGACGCTTAACTCATTTTTAAAGAAGGCATACTTAACATAACTAACAGCTGAAATCCAGAATTCAACATATCTAATTATCATTCTCATAATCTTTTGTTTTAATTTGGCTTCATTTCATTGTTTGGCTCAATGCTCCATCTTTTGAATGCTACTTGTCAACGTGAAGCCTTAGTTTGCTGATTATTTTCCCTTGAGTTCAAGTTTCCTAACTTCCCCAATTAGTTTAAAGGTCAGTCTGTATCCTTTGTTCCCTGCCAGATCATTGTCTTCATTGTTTTTCTTTCAGCCTCTGCTCCTTGGTTGACTGATGTAAATCTTCATGGATTATTATTATTATTATTTATTTTCCCCATTGGGTTCTTGCCTTTCCAGAACTCTTTGTTGTTGAAGATGTTCAGTTTTCTCAAAACAGCCAACTCCTACTTGTTATTCTGTGTCCGCATCCTCCAGATTGATTATTGCCTTGTTGTAAGTTATAGGACAGAGTCATCTGCAAACCCCTTTAGCTGAGCAGATGTAGAATCTGCAGAGCCCTGGATCTTTGGCGGACGGGTTGCTGGGATGTTCCCGGTTTGAACCCTGACCATGTCCAGTTTTGCGTAACTCTGTTCATAACAGAGGATGTAGTGATTGATACTTAGTCAGGTGAAAATATATTTTTCTAAAGACTCAACAGAAGGCCTGAGACAGACATACTGAACATAATGGGTCTATCAAACTAAAAAAACAACTTTTTTTCTGATTTGGGAGAACATAACCTCTAACTTAAATAAATCTTTTGAAAAACAACACTTTCATGGATTCATGGTGATAATCAGATTTGATCTATTCAACACTAAGTCAGATTTGTACCAAAAGAATGGATGTCTGTGAATGACTAAAAGATCGATTTTAAAGACAATCTGCAAAGAGCTACTTAAAATATAGAAAAACACTAGAAATAGTCTGCAGTTATTTGTGCTTTTGCTTTTGGGCAAACTGCGGTTCACATTGTGAACCCACGTTGCCATGCTGCTTTGCAAAGTGTTACAATGCTTTAGACGGCCTTCACACCAATGAGATTCCTCACATTGTTGAGATGATTTTAGATTCAGAAGCCTTAAATATTACGTAAAACAATGATGTAACACACTATGAATGATCGGGTATGCTCTACTGTACATATCTGTGTGTGTGTGTGTGTGTGTGTGCATGTGGGCAGCATTGCCTTTGGCGGGCTGCAAGCTCCTCTTCTTTCCAACACACCTGTTGCCGTCATCGTAGTTGGCCCGGGTTCTGCCTGTCTTGTTCTTGTGCCGGTTCTGTTGTCTCCTTTGACTTCCTGCCAGGTGTTGTGTTTTTAGATTTTTTAGATTTTAGATTTAAGATGCACAAGGCAGAGCTTCAAACCACTCCTTCAAATGTTGCGAATTGGAAGGAAAACTTCAAGCTTTTTAACTCGATGTCGAAATGTCACTTTACCTGAATTTCGCCCAATCTCTCCCACCTGCTGTTTTTGTGCCACTGTCTGTCTCTTTGTCCAGCTTGCAGCTCAAGTTCTGGATGAGTTCGAAGACGAGGACATCGGGTTTGGTCTGGTGGATGAAAAGAAGGCCTCTGCTGTTGCCAAGAAGCTGGGTATGCTGTTTGGAAACACTGCTGGGGACAAGATCATGTTAAACACAAAATGAGTGTAAATGTCCTTGAAAAGCATTTACAGAGACTTAACTTTTTAAGTTTTGTGTTGGTCCAGCCACTATCTTCAGTGCTTTTTTTTTCTTTTTTAATATATAACTGGCCAAAGCAAGTTGAGCATGCTTATAAAGTGAAGGGAAGATGATAAATGGTTTAAAGACAGTTTAAAAAAAAAAAAGTCTAAATAAAATCTAAATTTTTCATAGTTATGTTTAAGTCATTCAGAATAAGAAATATGCTGAAGTCTAAACCAGTGGCGTTCAAACTTTTAGGGCCAAAATCGTCAAGTTGAAAGCACTTCTTGGCCGCTTTAAAAAAAAAAAAAAAGAAAGAAATGCCTAAATTCACGAGACATTTATTGTTTTATTTATGTGCTCAAATAATAAACAAATGAAGATTTTAGTGAAACAAAATTGGTAGATATTTTTCAGAAAGGAGTTCTGCTCAGTATTGTAGAAGAGGGCTGAATACATTGCACTGTACACATCAGATGTGTTAGGGTTTGTTTTTTTTAAGTATAATCTTGTATTCTTTTGCTTGAACAAATATGGATTCATTCGTGTTGTTTCTTAAAAACTGACCATGCAGTAGAAGGAAATTTGTGGTAGTAACTCAACAAGACCAAGAGTTATGATTATATCTGGAGAGCAGGTGATATTGTCTTGATTTTTACTTCAGAAAAGGACAGTCAAAATAATTTCATTCAATTCCAGATTAGATGTTATTATTTTTCTCATGATTTACTAGAAGCAGGTATGGAGGAAAGGAAGGTAAAGAAGACCAGATGGTTTATGGACCAACAGCGACCTCAAGTGTTTACCAAGGATATGACACTCTGTCGGGTGTTGAAAATGTCCCCTCGCTTAAAATATACAAAACAAAACTGAGTGAAGAAATCTATAAACATGCATAGCAAGCTCCTGAGAAACCAAACACTTTATTTGGTCCTCAAAAAAAAATCCTATCATAATTCTGTCTGGATATTTAACCTCACTTTGCAGTAGAGCTCATTTAAATTGGTTTAATTCCTGACACAAACCCAGCTTTTAGACGTACTTCTTAGATTCAAGATACTTAACGATGTTTTACATTTTACATTCCAAAGGTAGTTTTAAGGTCATTGGTTAGAAATTAAAGAGTAGCAAGTCTGTTTTCAGATTTGTTACTCTAAACTGAACTCAAATGTACAGGTGCTAATGGTTTAATTTTCAGAGGAGAAAAAGATTGAGGTGTTTGGTCTTGTGTCTTGATAAAAGTCAAAAATCCAAAAATAACGTAAAACTTGAGCCCTCATTACAAAAAGAAAAAATTCTATCCCAAAATTAGAAGAGTTTAATAGCATCATTAAGTTAAAAGACAGACACATGAGGGATGGATTTGACTGAGAACTGAGGAAAAACGACCTTCTCCAGTTGTATGAATGGAAGCTATTTCAATCTGGTAAGTAAATATTAAAAGTATGATTTTCTCACAGATTAAATCTTTTTTCTCACCAGGTCTGGATGAAGTCGACAGCATCTACATCTTTGCAGACAATGAAATAATTGAGTACGATGGAGAGCTGGCTGCAGATACCATTGTTGAGTTTCTATACGATGTAAGTAACGTTAGCAAAGATAAACCTGAAAGCGTGGGCAACAATGTTTCCAAAGGTTGTATGTAGCTGAGCTCCCTGTTTTATCACCAGCTGTGATGAAATGGATGTGAATAATGAACAGAAAGTGTAAGAGTCTCCTGTGTTTACTTGTCTGCTGCAGGTGATTGAAGACCCTGTGGAGATCATCGACAACGACCGAGAGCTGAAGGGTTTCTACAACATGGATGATGTCATCAAACTGGTCGGCTACTTCAAGAGCGAGAGATCCTCCCGTAGGTCGAATCATTCATGAATTAAAAATGATCCACATTCTGAGCTTCAAGTTTCACATTTCTGCGCCAAGACTGGAAGTGTAATAACTTTTATTTCGCTCTTACAGACTTTATAGAGTATGATGACGCAGCTGAAGAGTTCCACCCCTTCGTCAAATTCTTCGCAACATTTGACCCCAAGGTTTGTCCAGATTTCTTGTTTTGTCTTCTTCTATAGCCATTTGTTTGTCATTTGATAGACTTGAAATTGCTTAAAACTGCATGTTATATAAGATCTACCAGGACAGCATAACTGAAAAAAAGTGACTTTTTCTATGCTGACCTATTTTGCCCATGTTTAAATAAACCATTATGGATATATTTTAGAGGACATTCCTGAAAATTGCAACCAGATCTAACAGCATTTGGTTGTCGGTTCTGTTCTGGGGACTACTGTGGAATCCTTTGGCGATGATGGTGCAAATGAGGATTTTGCATAAAATCAAGAACATTCTGGACAGCCTTTCCCCATCCTCTTCATGAGGCTGTCATGTGAAAACAGTGTCTTCAGTCTGAGGCTTTTTTCAAATTTTTTGGAATACAAACCGCTACAGGAGATCTTCCCTACCCACAGCCATCATCATCTACAATAACTGATGAAATCTCGATGTGGCTGGCAAAGAGCGATCCTATCCGTAGGCTCTAAACAACCTGCATCTTCTGCTTTCTGTTACCACTTTCTCACAGTCCTTTCACAATGGATTTGCATTCTGAGCAGAGAAAAACAAGGTTGTGATCTTATTTACCCAGACGACGTCTTGGTTTGGAGATGTATGAATCCTTGGCATTTGTGTAAAACTAATCTAATACTTGTTTTTTTTCTGATAGTCTGTCAAACTGTTGAAATGTTGGCAATGTAGCAGAAATCGAGACGTGATTAAAATCACCAGATATTGTCGTGAAAGCATCGGGGTGTTGTGTCTGTACCTTAGCAACAACAGAACTGATGACATCACATGCATTATCGGCGACAGCTGAGGGTGAAATGTAAGCAGTTTCCAAAATAACACTGGTGAACTCTGTCGGCAGACGACATGGATGGAAGCTTACTACCAAGAGTTCAGTCCACTGCTGTTCGCAACGTCCCATATTGATGAAAGCTTTAGGTAGCTTTGATGCAAGAGGAGAAACAGGCATGGAAGAGGCGATTTCACAGAAAGATTATTTTATTAAACATGCTAACAATGGTCTTGATCACAACACCTTCAGCCGTAGTAGTTGTTTCTCTACCTGTATTCTTAACAATGACTTCATTGTTTGTAACTTCTACCGCGTTCAGGCGTTTGCGTTAATTCAGAATAAATTTGACTTTGCGTTCCAGATTGCCAAAAAGCTAAAGCTGAAGATGAATGAAGTGGATTTCTACGAACCCTTCATGGGAGAACCCGTCACCATTCCAGGAAAGCCTTACATCGAGTCTGAGATCATTGAATACATCGAACAGCATGACAGGTGGGCTTCCAAATGATTTTATTCAAAAAGCATTTAATACTAATGAGACGCAACGTCATGCAAGAGTTAGATATCAAACCATAAAGAGAGTAGTTACAGGAACATGTGTGATTATTATGTATATTTTTAATGTTTTCCTGTTTCAGACCAACGTTGAGGAAGCTCCAACCACACAGCATGTATGAGATCTGGGTAAGAGAGATGAAATATCTGCATACATTTGTTCCATTTAATTAATTATTTATATATACATAAGTAGTGTATTCTACCTGTTCTGTAAATGTGGAATACCTCTAGAGTCTGTTTTTATGAACACAGGAAGACGATATCAACGGAGAGCACATAGTCGCTTTTGCTGAAGAGGATGATCCAGGCAAGTCGCTTCTTAGCACCTTCTACTTAGTTGGTTTAAGGATTTTTTTTTTCATATCTACAGCCACATAGTAACAGTTACTAATTAAATGAATATGTGTCGACTTAATTTTCTCCAGATGGTTTTGAGTTTCTGGAGATCCTGAAGGAAGTAGCGCGCGACAACACAGATGACCCCAACCTCAGCATCATTTGGATCGACCCAGACAATTTCCCCCTGGTGGGAAAAAAAAAAGAAAAACCTTTCCTAGATTTATTTTTGTTGTCATAATTTAACCTGCATTAATTATTTTTTGGATTAGGTCACATAAGGATTAATGTCCTCTTCCTTCTTTCTGTCTCACACTTTCAGCTGGTTCCATACTGGGAGAGAACCTTTGGCATCGACCTTTCGTCTCCTCAGATCGGAGTCGTCGACGTTAAGGACGTAAGGATTTGCTCGTACCCATACAATCTGTTGCCGGATGACAGGCCCGTTCATTAGAAACATCCTGATTTGCCTTGAAGGCTGCCTTTACTGTTTTGTGGTTTAGATTCAATGAGATGTCAAAAGCTTTCCTACACACAACACTTCTGCTGATTTGTTAGCTACGCTTACATTACAAGACTTTCTTGTTGATCCATATCCATGAAGAAGTTGTTTGATTCAGATCTGATGCGTGGGGGAGGCAGCCAGTGTCCAGGCTTGGTGGCCAGTAGCCATCTGCATACTCAACCTTTTAATGAGCGAATTTTCTGGTTTGGTCAGAACCATCAGTTTCCAAACACCTTCTTCAAGACAACAGTTGAAGACAGATGACATCAATGCCTCAGACTTTAATTTGCATAACTTGTTTTGTTTCACCGGTTCAACAGATGAATAGACCTGTCAGGATGCCAAATAATTTGAATTACTCATACTGCCGACTTCCAGTTTACCCATTGATTATCATGTTTGTTGCCTATCAGCTGTACGAGTGAGCTACAAAAATCATGATGTATTTGTGTTTGGCAGGCTGACAGCGTGTGGATGGACATGGACGATCAGGATGACATGCCGACGGCCGAAGAGCTGGAGCAGTGGATAGAGGATGTTCTGTCTGGAAAGATCGATCCTGATGATGATGAAGGCGATGATGAAGATGACGATGATGATGATGATGATGACGATGACGACGATGATGATGATGAAGACGACGATGATGAAGATGACGACGACGATGATGATGCAGATGATGAAGACGACGATGATGAAGATGATGATGATGACAACGACGATGATGATGATGATGATGATGATGATGACGATGACGACGACGATGAAGATGACGATGATGAAGACGACGACGATGAAGATGACAATGAAGACGACGATGATGAAGACGATGATGAATAATTTATGTTTTCATCACTTTGCCGTTAATGGAGAAACTCCAAAGTTTTTCCATTAAACTAAAACATCTGGCAGCAAACAGACCTGACTCTTTGAACCTCACATGTTTCCCCTTGTTGCTGCAACGACTTGAGGGGAAACGCTGTCAGCTAGGAAGGAGGTTTCCATTAAAACTGGACGATTCTCCCACAGATGGCTACTAGTGTTCATGTTCAAAATGTCTCTAATGGCTGCCCGTCTCCCACCTTCGGACAACTTAATGTCAATAAATGTAAAATCAGGCAGAGACAAAGTTTCTAAAGGGTTCCAATGTGATATGACTCTTTCTCAAGTTTACTCTAACCTTGATTCAGTGACAATGAGAACAAACTCGTTCTTGTTATAGCTTGAAAATAAGAATTAAATTTCACTGGACGGTCTTAAATTCAACAAATCAGTCATTGAAAATGTATGTCGGAGGTAATAAACTTGAGATTGTTTTCTGTTTGTGTTTTTTTTTATATGTAAAAAATAGAGTTTTGCAGATATTTCACGATAAGGGAAGGTCATTTGCGCTGACCTTTATATTGTGTGTGTGTGTGTGTGTGTGTGTGCGTGCGTGCGTGTGCGTGCGTGCGTGCGTGGGTGCGTGCGTGCGTGTGTGTGTGTGTGTGTGCGCGTGCAAAGTTTCCTATGTTGTGTGTCTGTGTGTTTCTGACAAGCCAAAAAAATCTAAAAACCAAAATCAAGAAAATAAAGAAGTTTTCTGTTTTAGGAAGGTGAAGTTTCTCATCCTATATCCAAAACACAAAAAAGTTTTTCATATTTGATGTACTAAAAGAAAGGCATCTTGTTTTCAAATAGTTTAAGGCTTTATTGAACAAATTTATTCTCTAAGAACAGGATTTGAGTTGTTCTTTCAAGACGCCTGCTATATCTACCCAAATAAAAAAAATTATTCAATGCTGATTTTGGTGAAGCAAAATTGACTTTTGAGTAAAAATCGATGTAGATTTGG